GTGTCAGTATTTTGTTGAACCATATTTTATCGCGTTAATTCCAGCCTTTAGTATGTTGGGATATGTCTCTATTAACTTTGCACATCTAGACATTGCAGTATTTTCTCACTCTTCTGTGCAGAACTGCTTAGGTTCAGTTACATTTGATGGTGACCGTTTGTGGACTGCAGTCTTCAAGTAATTCCACAGATTTTCAATGGAGTTTAATTCTGAGCTTTGACTAGGCCATGCAAACACATTCACCTTTTTCTTCTCCAACCACTGTGTACTCATTTTTGCTGTGTGCTTTGGGTCATTGTCATGTTGGCAGGAAAGCCTTCTTCCCATTGACAATTTTCTGGCAGTGGGCAGCAGATCTTCCTCAAGAATCTGACGGTATTTTGCCCTGTCCATTTTTCCTTCTATCCTGACAAGTGCTCCCAGTTCCTGCTGCTGAGAAAACCGACATAAGGTGATATTCCCACCTCCATGCTTTACTGTAGGAATGGTGGGATTTGGATGGTGAGTTGTATTGGATTCTTGCCAGACATATCATTTAGGGTTGAAGCCAAATAATTCAATTTGATCTCATCTGACCAGAACACCTTTTTCCATGTGGCCTCAGAATCTTCAAGGTGTGTTTTTGGCAAAGCTCAGTGGTGACTGCATGTGGCCTTTCTTGAGGAGCGGCTTTTTCTTGCAACCCTCCCATACAAGCCACATTTGTGGAGAATTTGTGATATTGTATAGCACTACCCCCTTTAGGAGTTGCTGGATTATTTTCAGGCTCCCTGTTTCTCTGGACTTCTCTCTGGAAGCCCAAACCCTGCTGACACCACAGTACACCCTTAACCAGAATAAGTTACCCCCAGGAAGTAAAACTTGGAGTAAACTGGTAAGAGGTTTATAGCAGATTCAAATGTAATTTGGTTACACAGGCTAAACAAAATCAACATATGCAGAGTCACTTGTTGCTTGTGTCAACTTTAAACAAAGAAAAGACAACACTTATCACAGAGCCACAGATAGTGTTAGCAGACCTGCTTTTCACCTAATCCAAGACCTTCAACCTGAGATGGCTTTATAGTCCCCAGTGAGCAACGAGAACTATCAAAACAGGCAGGGCTAGCTCACTTTGGGCCCTCAGACAGACTGAACCCGTAGCCCTTCTGCACATGCTCAGTTTAGTGTGTATTGCTAGAGAGGTTTTTTTTTCTTGGGAGAGTGCATGTGATCAGCACAGGGCCAAACAGCACTGTCTAGACAGAGGGTCAGGGGTTCTGCATCCTCCTAGAGCAGAAAGAAAACTCCTCATACAAGCTTTAACCAGTGGTTAGCTGAAGTCACAAGATTGCTCTAACTGCTGATCAGAAAAGGTATTTATAGTTTATATTACAGTTTATATTTACTAAATAATTGCACTTCCATGTTCTGTGTACTATGGGAGACCAGATATAGTGAATGCAGGGTCCTGGGAGACCAGATATAGTGAATGCAAGGTCTATGGTGTAGTAACACCTTAAGTGCAGTGACGAGTCTTCTGCGCGCGTGATAGGGCCCAATTGGTGCACAATGGGAAGAAGTGTGAGTAGTGATTCTCTGAAGAACAATGCAATAAAGCAAAGGAGGAACAGCACTCCCCCTGAAAGTGGCAGTGGACTAGTGTAATGTCCGTTTAAGTGCACTGGTCACTAGTAGATTTGAAGAAAAAGGATGTTGAGCTGGTAGAAGTGATTGTTGATACAGGAAAGCTCCTCTCTGGACTGCAAGCTATAGGCACAATAGGAAAAGGTCTCTTTAAATGGGTAAATTGATCATGATAGTGACACGGCTGTGGTTCAGCCTGCGGGATGGCTTTCCTGCTATCAGTGCTGGTGTCAAGGCTTTGTCAAGTATGGTTAAGCAATACTGGCTGGAGGAACTAGGCCGCAACTTATAGTGACTGTATGCAATGTCTGCAACTGTGTAGAGAAAAGAGCAACTATGGAGAAAGTATCAGTGTTCTTTTCCCTAGGCAAGGCTTGGCACTCTCTCACCCAAGGGAATGGCATCTGGCGGATCCTTGCCGTCTTTCTCTCACTCCAGATGCGGCCCACTCAAACTCTTTGGTCTCACCTGCAGCATTACGTCCAGTCACCTCCTGACAGATCAGCTCTCTGTATCAAGGTGCAAGGTCAGTGATCAGCAGATTTCTCCTTGCCTCTCTTCTCTCTCCTCCTGCTGCCTGTTCTGGTTTTCAGGTGATCAACACACTCTTCTCTCTAGATTTCTCCCCTCTCACTTTCTCTCCAGTCTCCCAGGCTTTGAGATATATATATATATATATATATATATATATATGGCCCTGCCCACACGCCAGCTCCTCTGGAAAATGTAGTTTCCAAATGCACTGCTCCTTAGTAAAGTCCTGCAATTCAGCATGCAAGTTCCATATGGCTGTTCTTCAACATGTGGCTGCTACTATTCTGCAGGACACTGTCATCTTGTGTTGGCTTCAACATCCTGCATTAGACATTTATAGCAGGATGTTACACACACAATGACCACTCTTTATCATAAATTCTGCAAGCCTCTTGGTAGCCTCACTGACCAGTTTCCTCCTGGCTCTTTCATCCAGTTTGGAGCGACGTCCTGATCCATAGAGGGTCTGTGTTGTACCAAATACCTTCCACTTCTTAATAATAGACTTCACTGTGATTCCAGGCATTGATAAAGCTTTTGACATTTTTTTTGTATCCATCTTCTGACTTATGAATATCCACAACTTTATCCCGGAGATCTTTTGACAGTGCCTTGCCACCCATAGTTGACTGTTTGCTTCATTTGCACTATCAGGGATTAAAATTCTCTTTTTTTCATCCTGAGCTAATCAAAATGAGCACAGCTGATCAGTTGAAAGCCAAATGGGTTTGTGTGCCATTGAGAAGGTGATTAGTTACACCTGATTGAGTTTACAAGTCATTTTTAGGAGGGGGTGATCCTTTTTCCAGTGATTCTGTTTTTTATTTTTTTATTTTTTTTTTCTGACACGTTGGTGTTGTATCTTAAATTTGGATGTTATAAGTTGAATTAAACAAAAACTGTGCCTGTCTTTATTTCAGACTGCAATTCAACAAAATTTGAATTTTAAATGTGGTGAGTCTTTTCTATACCCACTGTATATATTTCAGAACAGCCCACATGATTGTATCAAGGTTTGCTTTGGTTTTGGGCCTGCTTTGCACCTGGTTCAGAAAGTGGAATCAAGTTCTGTATGAATAGAGTAAAATCCAGTTTTAAATGAATAAGGTGGAGCCAAGTTCTATGTGAATAAGGTGGAGCCAAGTTCTATGTGAATAAGGTGGAGCCAAGTTCTATGTGAATAAGGTGGAGCCAAGTTCTATACTGTGTGAATAAGGTGGAAGAAAGTTCTATATGAATACGGTGGAAGAAAGTTCTATATGAATACGGTGGAAGAAAGTTCTATACGAATACGGTGGAAGAAAGTTCTATATGAATACAGTGGAAGAAAGTTCTATATGAATACGGTGGAAGAAAGTTCTATATGAATACGGTGGAAGAAAGTTCTATATGAATACGGTGGAAGAAAGTTCTATACGAATACGGTGGCGCCAAGTTCTAGGTGAATAAGGTAAAACTAAATTCTATATCAATAAGCTGAAACCAAGTTCTACGTGACAAACCTTGGTTCAGATAAATATACAAAAACTATAGTTATGACAACAAAACTAACTAAGGTTATGAAAACTTTAGAGTTAAAGTTGAAGACATAGCGGTAGTAGACAGTTCATGCCTCCTTGGAACAATTGTTGACACAAAGGGGTTTATTTACTAAAGCTGGAAAGTCCAAAATCAGACTCCCTTCTGCATAGAAACCAATCAGCTTCTAACCTCAGCTTGTTCAATGAAGCTTTGGCAATGAAACCTGGAAGCTGATTGGTTTCTATGCAGAAGGGAGTCTGATTTTGGACTCTCCAGCTTTAGTAAATAAACCCCAAAAGATCCAGCAATCAGGAAATGTGACACAGGAACGTAGAAGAGCAAGGATGAAAGATCTATAAAAGATCTTGAAAGATCTAGAAGAGATCTTCAAAGGTACTGAAGTGCCTACAAAATCAAAGATCAGAATTGTCAAGGCTATGGCGTTTTCTACTCTGTATGAATGCGAAGGCTTAACAATAAAGAAACAAGATTGGAAAAAAGTATAGATGCCTCTGAACTTTGGTGTTGACGACCACAAACAAATAGATCCTTCAACAAATGAAGCCCAATCTTTCACTAGAAGTCCAAATGACTAAAGTCTAGACTGAAGTCTTATTATGGACACAATATGAGAAGAGCTGATTACAACAAAATTGGAAAAAATTGACCATCTCTTGTATTATATCTACAGTCTCTGACCATCTCTTGTATTATATCTACAGTGTCTGACCAGGGGGCGGACTGACCATTTGGAAACTCGGGCACTGCCCGAGGGCCCGGGGTCAGTAGGGGGCCCCATGAGATGCCCCTGGTACCTTTTTCATAGGCTTTTTTGAGTTTGGGCAAGGACATGGGGGCCCCATGATCCCCTATTGCCCGGGGGGGGGCCCCATGAGTTGTCAGTCCGCCCCTGTGTCTGACCATCTCTTTTATTATATCTACAGTCTCTGACCATCTCCCCTATTGCCCAGGGGCCCCATTGTTGTCAGTATCTACAGTCTCTGACCATCTCTTGTATTATATCTACAGTCTCTGACCATCTCTTGTATTATATCTACAGTTTCTGACCATCGCGCCCCCAATCTCTACATATCTTTTGTATCATGTCTGCAGTCTCTGACCGTCTCCTGTATCATGCCCTGAATTTTTGTCTAAATCTTTTTGTATGCCTGCTGTCTCTGACACTGAATATTCACTAAGTTTTATAGGCAGCCCTTTGGTGATGTTGAGGGCCACAATAGAGCCCCCCCCCGTTCAAAAAAGTTGACCACCATCTTTTTTTACATTACTATTGTTTATTTGTGTCTTCTGAATCTTGACAGCTGGTGCAAGCTTCTCCACTCAGCCCCGACAGGAATTATGTCCTTGGTTGTCACCCCCACGGCATTTTCTCTGCTGCCTCATTTTGTAACTTTGCTACCGAAGCCACCAGCTTCTCCGTGCTATATCCGGGCGTCCGTCCTTGGCTGGCAGTCCTCGCGGGCGTATTCAGACTTCCCATTTATCGTGAATACGTCATGTCCGCAGGTAAGACTTTCCATTCCATTAAATAATACCTTTGTATTTATTGCTATTTATAATATTAACCTCCTCGGCGGTCTGATTATTTCAGATTTTTGGTGCTGAAAGCGGTACATTTTTTTGCATGGAAATATGTAGTTTTTTTATTGTAGGCTGTAATTTTTAGGAATAACTCACTGAAATCTGTCCGAACAAGAGTCTATTAAACATCCCGGATATGATAAAATTTGAAACACGAAATCATAAATTATAATTTAACCCCTTCCCGCCGATGCCTCCCGGCCCTTTAAGAGATTCAGACGCCGGGAGGCGGGGCGGTTGGGGCGTGGCTTAGGAATCATGTGACCGCCGTGATGACGCGTCACGGCGGTCACATGATCGGGAAAGGTCCCGTTCGAAAGAGCGGACCGGGACCTTTCCGTGAGTACCACACATGTGTGCTGGGAGCGCGCAGGGCGCGTGCTCTCAGCACATATGTATTTAGTTACATGGACGCAAATGTGCGGCCGCTCTGCGTCTAGGCCCAGACGCCGGGAGGCCGCACATTTGTGTGCGGCCGGCGCAAAGGGGTTAATAAATAATCATAAAAAATAATAATATAATAATACATTTAATTCAATAATATAATCAAACCTAAAACACTGAAATTTGAAATATAGCGCCAAGTTCGCACATCACTGAGCTCAGTCGCAGAATCGTTTTCAGTGTCTGATGAGGAATTTCCCCCACGAATCATTATCACTCAATTCTGCAAGTGGTTCTGATTTACTATCGCTGTTCTCTAGCCGGTCTAAAACCGCTTTTGACCTAAAGGGACGCTTTTTGGACGCCATGGACGTTTCTCAGTTTCCAGGCAGAAAGAACAGTAAAAATGCAGGCAGGGCGCCGGACAAAGCACTCGGGACAAAATGTATGTGAAATGGGTTGAAACAGCAGCAATGGGCAAACTACGGCCCGCGGGCTGTATGCGGCCCGGCGGACCTTTTAATCCGGCCCATGGAGCGTGATACTGTCAGGATGGCTGTCAGGATGTGTGTAGGCGGGGCAGCGTGATGAACGTGAGGGGAGCTAGGCTCCTCTCACAGTCCGCCCTGAAGACCGGAACAGCGCGGGAACACGGCGTGAGGAACGCGCGGAGCAAAGGTAAGTGAATTGACACAGGGGGGACTTGGCTTACTACTTGGGGGGGAATAGTACTATGGGGGATGAAATATTATGGGGGATGAAATACTATATGAGGGATGAATTAATATGGGGGATGAATTAATATGGGGAATGAATTACTATAAGGGGGGATGAATTACTATATGGGGGACGAATTACTATGGGGGATTAATTACTATATGGGGGATTAATTACTATGGGGGATGAATTACTATGGGGGATGAATTACTATATGGGGGATGAATTACTATATGGGGGATGAATTACTATGGGGGATGAATTACTATATGGGGGATGAATTACTATGGGGGATGAATTACTATATGGGGGATGAATTACTATGGGGGATGAATTACTATGGGGGATGAATTACTATGGGGGATGAATTACTATGGGGAATTACTATGATGAATTACTATATGGGGATGAATTACTATGGGGTATGAATTACTATGGGGGATGAATTACTATATGGGGGATGAATTACTATGGGGGATGAATTACTATATGGGGGATGAATTACTATGGGGTATGAATTACTATGGGGTATGAATTACTATGGGGGATGAATTACTATGGGGGATGAATTACTATATGGGGGATGAATTACTATATGGGGGATGAATTACTATATGGGGGATGAATTACTATGGGGGATGAATTACTGTGCTTACTATGGGGGAATATTATTATACTTACTATGGATGACACATACACATCATTCATCTACTCTCGGTCCGGCCCCGGGTCCAATATATGAACCCATTGCGGCCCTCAAGTCAAAAAGTTTGCCCACCCCTGTGAAACAGCAATGTTTTACTACTATGTAAAATTTGTTTGGAAAAAAATGAAATTTTTTAAAATTTTCAAATTTCCCGCCGCCGGCGGCGCCTGTACGTCCCGACGTCCAGGGACCGGAACACAGAAGCCGGATGCCGGCATCGGCCGGAGGAGATGGCCGGGGACGCTGCAGGGGGGACATTGTGGGAGCGCAGGACAAGGTAAGCTCTGCAGGGAATCCCTATGCAGCGCCACATGGTAAGCCTGAGTGTATCTCGGGGTTACCGCTTTTGGTACTGTCATTTTACCCCGAGCTACACTCGGGAATAAGGCTAGGAAGGTTAAGAGCATGCAGCCAATTGACCTGAGTCATGTGATAAAACCATTAGGCCCTCTTCAAAAAATTGGATTTTTTTTTATAGAGATGAGGATACATATTTCATGATAGTGAGCCTGGAATAATGTACTGTTCATTTTAGTCTTCATTTTCTCATTTACTCATTAGAGTTTGTAATAAATGTGCCCTACTAAGGAGATTGGCCTTCCTATCAGACATTCTTAGGATTTAACACTTTACTAATAAAGTTTCCTTTTGTCTGTGTTGTGTGCTGATAACAGGGAAAAAGACGGCAAAAAAAACAAAGAAAGAACCTTTAATCCTTTCCTGCTCTAACTAAATTGAAAAAAACCCATAAAAAGAAAAAAAAAAAGAAACTGATTTAAAGCGCAGTCAAACACGGAAACCCTGACCTATAAAAAACTTATAATAAAAAGGAGCAATTTAAAGAAAAGAAAAATCTTACAAAAAATAAGTACGCTGCTGCTAACGCAAAAATAGCATAGTTAGAAATGAAATTGTAAATTGAATGAAAATAAATTAATAAATTAGATGGACTAAAAGCACTTAAATCACACTTGAAAGTTCACAAGCATAAAAAATTTTCTAGCTTTTTTTTTTTAATGAAGAGGATGTGGCGTGCGTGTGTATACATGCATATTTGAATGTATGCGCATCAAATACTGAGGAGAAATGAGAATTTTTGCATTTGTTTTAATTGATCTAGACCAGAGATCTCCAAAGTTTCTGACCAAAGGGCCAGTTTACTGTTAAGACTTTGAGGGGGCCAGACTGTGGCTAGTGAGAGTAGAAAATGCCCTGGCGTGAATGAGAGTAAACAATGCTCCATCATTGGTATCAGTGGGAGGAATAGTGCTCCATCATTGGTATCAGTGGGAGGAATAGTGCCCCATCATTGATATCACTGGGAGGAATAGTGCCCCATCATTGGTATCAGTGGGAGGAATAGTGCCCCATCATTGGTATCAGTGGGAGGAATAGTGCCCCATCATTGGTATCAGTGGGAGGAATAGTGCCCCATCATTGGTATCAGTGGGAGGAATAGTGCCCCATCATTGGTATCAGTGGGAGGAATAGTGCCCCATCATTGGTATCAGTGGGAGGAATAGTGCCTCATCGTTGGTATCAGTGGGAGGAATAGTGGCCCATCATTGGTATCAGTGGGAGGAATAGTGCCCCATCATTGGTATCAGTGGGAGGAATAGTGGCCCATCATTGGTATCAGTGGGAGGAATAGTGGCCCATCATTGGTATCAGTGGGAGGAATAGTGTCCCATCATTGATATCAGTGGGAGGAATAGTGGCCCATCATTGGTATCAGCGGGAGGAATAGTGCCCCATCATTGGTATCAGTGGGAGGAATAGTGGCCCATCATTGGCATCAGTGGGAGGAATAGTGTCCCATCATTGGCATCAGCGGGAGGAATAGTGCCCCATCATTGGTATCAGTGGGAGGAATAGTGGCCCATCATTGGTATCAGCGGGAGGAATAGTGCCCCATCATTGGTATCAGTGGGAGGAATAGTGCCCCATCATTGGTGTCAGTGGGAGGAATAGTGCCCCATCATTGGTGTCAGTGGGAGGAATAGTGCCCCATCATTGGTGTCAGTGGGAGGAATAGTGCCCCATCATTGGTATCAGTGGGAGGAATAGTGCCCCATCATTGGTATCAGTGGGAGGAATAGTGCCCCACCATTGGTATCAGTGGGAGGAATTGTGTACATGAGCCCTTAGTGTCATTTCTCTCTACTGCCTCGTTCCTCTGCTATCACTTCTGACAAGTTTTCCTGACACCAGGATCTATAAAGGTGACAGGGGATGGAGCTCCAGCACACAGCTTGTGATTGACAACCTGAGCTCTGTTCCTGTGTGCTGTATGAAGGGGTATGTGTTCCTTCCTGCCAATCAGCTCTCCGAACTCTTGTACAGTGTGTAACTGCAGCTCTCCGCACCATGCTTTGTGAATCTGTGAGTGCTATCCTCACTAAGTGTAACTTCAGCTCCCCACACCGTGCTTTCTGAAAGCTCAAACAAACTGTGTGCATTCTGCACTTTGAATGGCTGTAGAGAAGAGATCTGCAGATAAACAGGTACAACTTATGTAGGAGGCTCTGTTTATTCTCTGTGTATCACCTGTGGCCGGTCACTTCACTGAATATATGTAAGGGTTTAAAACCACTTTAAGTCCTGCTTTAAGTTGCCCCTCTTTTTTGTTTTTTGGGGTATTTTGGAGGTTGCCCAATGCTTTTCAAATGAATGCCATATCTACATAACCTATTGTCTGGAGTTATGCAGGCCATAGACGGTTCATTTATCGGCCGATTTTTCATCCGAAAAATTAAACATCGTTCGTTCTGTAAACCGATGTGGCTATCAATGATTTTGAAAATAGTCTGTTTTTCACGAACTTTCCAGCATGACCGATAAACGAAATGAGGAGGAACCACGAAAATCGGCCGATACCATTGCACCACTAACAGTGCGAAAATCGTCCGATTATTCTTTCGGATGAAAAATCGGCCGATAAACGAACCGTCTGTGGCCTGCATGCGGCTTTAATCTAGTAACGTCTTTTTTCTGATGTCCTATTACCTGTGCCTCTACCTTCTCTCTTAGGATGTGCTCCTGTGAATAAGGACAGCCTGACATACATCCTCACCAAGTGCGGCATTGGGAATGCACTATTTATTGTGGTGGGAGGAGCAGCGGAGTCCCTGCAGAGCCGTCCAGGAGAACATGTCGTCACACTGGGGGGCAGGAAGGGTTTTGTCCGACTGGCCTTGGAGAATGGGTAGGTTACATCGCCAAATGATGTTCTTCTGGGGCAAACACAAGGGCACATGGACCTGTCCTGACAGGGGGGCGGTAATGATCTGCTGACCTGTTATACCCACCAGGGGTAGACTGACCATTTGCAAACTCGGGCACTGCCCGAGGGCCCGGGGTCAGTAGGGGGCCCCATGAGATACCCCTGGTACCTTTTTCATAGGTTTTTTTTGAGTTTGGGCAAGGACACATGGGCCCCATGATCCCCTATTGCCCGGGGGCCCCATGATGCTCCGTTTGATAGTACACATTGCCATTCTTTCACTGTGGTGTGATAACATGCCACCTATTCAAATGAAATAAACTGTATTGCCAGTGCAGAAAGCATGCAGTTTCACTACAATGTGGTGGTCTTTCAATGGTTAACCACTTGCCTACTGGGTGTTTTTCACTCCCTTCCTGCCCAGGCCAATTTTCAGCTTTCAGGACCGTTGCACTTTGAATGACAATTGCACGGTCATGCAACACCGTAGCCATATGAAATTATTATAATTTTTTTGAGACATAGAGCTTTCTTTTGGTGATATTTATCCCCTTTGCTCCAACGTCACACAAATATGGGCTTTTTTATGTGGGGCTACATATTTGCGTACCTGTCTTTGTGCTGGGAGCACAGAACACTCCCAGCACAAAGACCAGGGTGGCACTGAGAGCCCGGGTCCTGTTCTAATAATCAGGACCCGGGACTCCCGATTCCGGGTCACATGATCACCGTGATAGCCTCTGATTGGCTATCACAGTGATTAGTCATTGTGAAGCCCCCCCCCCCCCCCCTTGGTGGTTTTTCTTCTCTCTGAATGGAGAAGAGAGATACATTGTATCTCTCTCTCCTGGCATAGAGTAAAAAAAAACAACTGTTTTGTAAAAAAGAAAAGATAAATAAATATTAAAAAAAAAAATACCTAGATAAAGGTATGATCTAGTTCAGTGCCAGGGTAAAGGTCAGGGTCAAAAGTCAGGATTTTTTTATGGCAGTAACAAGAAACACACAGATAAATAAAAAAAAAGATTTTTTTTTTAATATATTAGGCCAGTTTTCCTTTGATAACAAAAAAAAAAATCAGGAGATACCCATTACCATTTACCAGCAAATGAAAGCCCAATTTGTCCTGAAAAATATAAAAACAAGGAATAATCCACCCGGATGTACAAAGTAGTTGTGATGATGTGTACGGTTTTACTAACACAGGTCAACGTTGTAAAATTTTACTTTTGCTTTTACTTTTGCTTTAAGATTTGTTTTACCGTTCGGCATGAAGGGGTTAATTGCCACTGGGGTTTTTTATTTTTTGCTGAGCAAATAAAAAAAGACTGAAAATTTTGAAAAAAATATTTTTTTTTAGTTTCTGTTATAACATTTTGCAAATAAGTAATTTTTCTCCTATACTGATGTGCGCCGATGAGTCTGCACTGATGGGCACTGATGAGGCAGCACTGATGGGGCTGCACTGATATGTGGCACTTATAGGCATTGATGGGCGGCACTGATAGGCAGAACTGATGGGGAGGTACTGATTGGCTGCACTGATGGGCACTTATAGGCAGTACTGATGAGCAGTTATGGGGCTGCACTGATGATCAGTGTAGATGTCCTAGTGAGAATTGTCAGTTACCTGCTCTCTTTTCCTCACGCTTTCTTAGTGTGCACGGAGAAGATTGCCGATAACCAGCAAGTCTATTTTCACTGTAATCAGCTGTGATTGGACAAAGCTGATCACATTGTAAAGGAACACTGTGATTGGCCTTCTACCTCTCTCTGTGATCAGCTGTGTCCAAAGGACACAGTGATCACAGAGTGCTTCTGCCCTGGGGGCATGCAGGGGACGGATGTTAATAGATGCCCTCAGAGAACAAGCCGACCATGCTGTAGTCATCATCTGACCAGGGGCGGACTGAGCATTTGGAAACTTGGGCACTGCCCGAGGGCCCGGGGTCAGTAGGGGGCCCCATGAGATGCCCCTGGTACCTTTTTCATAGGCTTTTTTGAGTTTGGGCAAGGACACAGGGGCCCCATGATCCTCTATTGCCCGGGGGGCCCCATGAGTTGTCAGTCCGCCCCTGCATCTGACTATAGTCAGGTAGGCACAGAAGGTGACATTCTGTGGTTGATTTACTAAAGGCAAATAGACTGTGAATTTTGCAGGTGCAAGTGCTCCAGAGTGTCAAGGTCCTACCTTTTCCCAGAGGTTATGCTGCTCCATGTGCTGGCATCCATCTTGGCTTTCTGCAGAGCATGGTGGAGTCTTTTATGCCTTCAGGCCTCTGCGGTCCATCCCCCAGAGGGGTGTGGTTGATCACATATAAGCCTGTTGTCCGCACGTACTCTTTGCATTCATGTCTTGTATGTTCGTGTTGAAACAAGCTCTGTTTCTACTCTTGTGGCTCTCCTGGAAACTGACTCGGCTTTTGACTAGACTATTCTCTGCGTTATCCATTTATCTGACCTCCTGTTGCTGAACCCGGCTTGTGACCTGTTATTCTTGTCTACTGTTCTGTACTGTCTGTCCCGTTGTTATCGACCCGGCCTGCATGACTATGCTATTGTCTTATCTGGTTCCTACCAGCTATATGCCATTGGCGGTGGCCATTACCACAGCTAGGGTGTCTCGGGGGCCGCGACCTGATCCCTGGCTGCGTCAAGTCCATCCCCACCATCAGGGGCCCTGGTGAAGGGCAGCCTGGGACTTAGACTCCGCACCCTGAGGGACTCCGGTCTGTGGGTAGTGGTTGTCGTCAGTTGGTGCATGACCCTGCCATTAGGCCTGCCTGTCCGTTCCACAGCTCCTGCCCTGACACAGAGCTCCAGATCACATGCAAGGAAAATAAAAACAACAGCATTGCTGCTTGCACATGATTGGATGATTTAAGTCAGCAGAGCTCCTGTTAATTTACTAAGCTCTGGAGCAATTGTACTTGCAAAGTGCACAGTCTATTTGTCTTTAGTATATCAACCACATTGCCTCTAAGCCACTCTGAAAAGTTATCCACTGCAGATTGTTTTTCAGTGGACTACTACTGCACATGTAAACAAGACCTAACTGTGTTACGAATATCTACCCACCCTAGCCAATCACTCAAGGATTTGGTTCAGTGGTAGAGCTGGGAAAAGCTAATGACTATATGAGGTGCAAACCTTCCAGAGTATTTTTTTTTTCTCCCCTGGACCTTGCCCCAACTTTGGGCTTCTGCTAAATGCTCAGTTAATTTCAGCTGCCCTACTGAAGGATATATCCAGGGCAGGACAATGGTAGAAATAATGGGGCATCTGTGAAGGAATCTTCAGTGCTGAAGAGGTACAACTGCTATGGGGAACTTGCAAGAAGCATTCACTGCCATAAACCAAGGTTCCTATGGCTGCTATCATGGAGTCACAAACTCAATTGATTAGAGGAAAGTGAAAGATCCAGTGCAACTTAAAGCGGAACTAAACCCTCCTATCCTTTTCAACCAAGGAAGCTGCCATCTCAGCCATCTCTGGTTGATCTGCAACTGCCATGGTGCTGTACATATGATCAATTATGACACCATCCATTTGATGGTTGGACGGTTTGGTTGAGAGCACAAGCAAATGTGACAGTTAGCATTCCTGGATTGCTGTGAACGTAACTGGCTTTTGAAACCAATAAATCTATGGGTTCAGTTCTGTTTTAAAGAAAACTACAGGGACATACAAAGATCTGATTTGGCTGCTATGAAAGGGCCAACTACTGCCAAGAGGCTGCTATTAGAGGGTCAGCTACTAATAGAACACCTAAGCCATTTTGTTCTTTTTGGGTAACCTGTACCCCACCCTCTCTCCTAGAATTGAGTTCAGCAACAGATTGAAAAAAAGACTAAAGTGACTGGCACCCAACCATTTTTCACCCAACTAGACACCAAGAATCCAACTTTGGGTGGTAAATGTTGACCTGCCACACCAATTCCGAGGTTGTTCTAAACCTCCATTAAATCGATGGGTTCAGTTCTGTTATAAAAGAAGACTACAGGGGCATACAAAGATCTGATTTGGCTGCTATGAAAGGGCCAACTACTGCCAAGAGGCTGCTATTAGAGGGTCAGCTACTAATAGAACACCTAAGCCATTTTGTTCTTTTTGGGTAACCTGCACCCCAACCATCTCTCCTAGAACTGAGTTCAACAACAAACTGAAAAAAAGACTAAAGTGACTGGCGCCCAACTGTTTTTTCACCAAACTATGCACCAAGAATCCAACTGTGGGTGGTAAATGTTGACCTGCCACACCAATTCTGAGGTTGTTCTAAACCTCCATTAGAAGGAAAAGCACCACAAACATTTACTGATAGGTTACGTATTTTTACCTGCCATTGACTGCTTAGTAGAAAGCTCAAAGTGGTAATTTAACTATCACCTGTTCTGGTAACAGCTGATAGGATAAGGATAGCTTCAAACTCAACCACTGAAGTATGGCGCGTTAAACCACATATGTGCTGCATTAGGTAGCCCATTCAAAATGAATTGACTGGCATGCACCTAAGTAGCCGAGAAATTGGACCTCTACCTTTTTTGACAGCGTGCCATACTACAGCGCACCTTTTGTTGGCAAGGTGCATTTGGGTGTCATTCAGCAGGACCAGGACAAGGGGTGGGCAGGAGGGGAAGCTGCCCTGGGCGCCCCCTCACCACACACTCCCGGTTGGCAACCAGTGGGTCACAACTTGATGCTTCACACCATGCATGTCCAACTTCCTTCAGGCTGCCAGAAAGTAAGCATAGGCCGCTGGAGCAAGAGGACAGAGAATTGGTACACAGTGGCACACCCATTCAATGTCATGCATTAGCAGTGGGGGAGGGGGCGCAGTTCCACATCCTTGCCCTGCGCAGTGGACGAACCTGTTCCTGTACTGTCATTCAGAATCCTTTGCAAGTAGCACGCAGTGTTGCTGTAACACACACACAGGAATTTGCGCATTCCTACAAAATGTGAACAGTACCTAAGAGGAGATTTCCTTGTAGTGCTACCTCTGAAGGATCTGCTTGGTAATTTGGGTTCTCTGTTCTGCATCTTGACTCCAAGAACAACCTCAGCCTCTTTGACACACCTGGTTGAATGAAAGTTACTGCAAACACTTTAAAGAAAACGAGTATAGATGCCTTCAGTAGTAAATGGTAGTTTAGGCATAAATGAACATATAGAAGGTAGGTTCAGACACAGTCCGCTAGACAGTATAATCCCTATGCCAAGGTAACAACATAGAGTTCTGTGCCACTGGAATGGGATTAACTAATGAATCAGCAAAGTCAGCAATATACAGTGCAGATAAGCATTAACTGCAATGTGAACAATAATACTGTAACTAGTCTAGAGAACACCATTGGAAAAATGGCTAGGATATGGTGCAATGTACCCTAAGAGGTACCTCTTAGCATAAGCAAAAGGTGGAGGTCTCTGTGTAGCAGCTGTAAAGGGTCAGTCTTTTAGTCTTAACTCTTCAGACAGCTAGCGTCGGGGTCCAGTTGTACTGTTGGTGCACATGAGAATAGTCCCCATCAAGCCTGCAGGCAACAATAAGGCTACTAGATGGTTATATGGTCAGTTCCTAAAGGGCTCAGTCTCTCTAGCAACAGATAGTAAATCCCCACAGCAGCAGCTCACCAGTTCCAGAGATATTGCAGCCCACCATTCCAGTGATACTGCAGCTCACCATCTGGTCACACGCAATGATTAGTCCACCCTCCACTCTGCATCCAGATGATTCTGACTGTCGGCACATCTGCACTCCAAATCCTGTTATGCAGCAGAGATGGTGCACACTGGAAAGCGATGTGCACCTTCTGGGCTCCCTCTTGGCAAGAGGAAGCTGTGTCCTTTACAGTTTGAGAAAATGCTGCTCTTTCCCCTCCTCCTGACAATCTTCCTCTGGGAAATTAAGTTCAATGGTCAATAGACGTCCACAGTACGGCTCTTTTTCTGAACTTAATTTCCCACATTCCACTGTGGACAGCATAGAAGTCTTTGGGGCTCCCTGATTTCGTGCCCCTGACCCTCCCCACCCCCCCCCCCCCCCCCCCCCCCCCCCCCGCTGGTGGAAGGCAGAGAGTGAGGTGAATCAGCATATCAGTTTAGTGATAGTGTAAAGAGACCCTGCAATCTGTCATATCTTGCTCATCATAGCCAAGTACCTGGCTACTTCCAGAAAGATTTTCTCTCATTTGCTGTTGTGTCTCTAGAACAGGAAGTAAATGGAAATCTCCCCAATAAGACAATAGCAAAAAAATAAAAAAAACTTGATAGGGATTCCAACCATTCCTACTCTATCCAAAGCTAAAGAGAAAAAACATTTTGGCAATAAATACACTTTAATGAGATTACTCTGTATAACTGCATCTCTAATTTCCTGCAGGGCAGACCTTGTGCCGGTATATTGCTTCGGAGAGAATGACCTCTACGAACAGATTCGCTTTACTGAGGGCTCCTGGGGCTGGAAGCTGCAACTCCTCTTCCAGAAATATGTGGGATTTGCCCCCTGCCTTATCAAAGGCACTGCAGTGTTTGGGGAGGGAAGCTGGGGCCTAAACCCCTTCCCTCGTCCCCTTACTAGTGTAGGTGAGTATGGTTTTTGAATTTTCTGGGTCATGATCCACAAGCAAGAAGGAACTTGGGGAGGGCAGAAAACAGTGAAGGAGGATGGATAGGGCAGAAATGGAGAAGGAGGCTGGAGAGGACAGAAATGGAGAAGGAGGCTGGAGAGGGTAGAATCGGAGAAGGATGCTGGAGAGGGTAGACTCAGGAAAGGAGAATGGAAAAGGCAAGTCATAGAAGGAGACTGGAGAAGGCAGAACCAGAGAGGGAGGCTAGAGGGAGCAGAAATAGAGAAGGAAGCTAGAGAAAGTAAAAGCAAAGAATTAGGCTGGGGGGAACAGAATCAGAGCAGGCAACTGGAGAGGGTAGAATCAGAAAAGGAAGCTGGAGAGGGTAGAATCAGAGAAGGACACTGGAGAGGGTAGAATCAGAGAAGGACGCTGGAGATAGTAGAGTTAGAGAAGGAGACTGCAGGAGTAGAATCAGAGAAGGAAGCTGGTAACGGTAGACTCAGAGAAGGACCCTGGTGAGGGTAGAATCAGAGAAGGGCGCTGTAGAGGGTAGAATCAGAGAATGCACTGGACAGGATAGAATAAGAGAAGGGTGCTGGAGAGGGTAGAATCAGAGAAGGGCACTGGAAAGGGTAGAATCAGAGAAGGAAACTGGAGAGGGTAGAATCAGAGAAGGACACTGTAGAGGGTAGAATAAGAGAAGGACACTGGAGAGGGTAGAATCAGAGAAGGATGCTGGAGACCGTAGAGTTAGAGAAGGAGACTGCAGGGAGTAGAATCAGAGAAAGGATGCTGGAGAGGGTAGAATTAGAGAAGGAAGGTGGAGATGGTAGCATCAGAGAAGAAGCCTGGAGAGGGCAGAATTAGAGAAGGAAGCTGGTGAGGGAAGAATCAGAGAAGGGCGCTGGAGAGGGTAGAATCAGAGAAGGGTGTTGGAGAGGGTAGAATCAGAGAAGGGTGTTGGAGAGGGTAGAATCAGAGAAGGGTGTTGGAGAGGGTAGAATCAGAGAATGCACTGGAAAGGGTAGAATCAGAGTAGGGCGCTGGAGAAGGTAGAATTAGAGAAGGGCACTGGAAAGGGTAGAAACAGAGCAGGACACTGGAGAGGGTAGAATCAGAGAAGGGTGCTGGAGAGGGTAGAATTAGAGAAGGACGCTGGAGAGGGTAGAATCAGAGAAGGATGATGAAGAAGTTAAAATTAGAGAAAGAAAGTGGAGAGGGTAGAACTAGAGACAGAAGCTGGATATGGAAGAATCAGAGAAGGAGACTGGAGAGGGTTAGAATCAGAGAAGGGTGTTTGAGACGGTGAACCCTCCTTCTGACATTCCATTAGTATATAGGCCTGTGGCCAGCAGGCACATCTCTAGCTCTGAGGAAGGGGGTTCACCTCCCGAAACGCGTCAGATATTCGCATCATTAGACACAGATGTATTGTGACTGTCTTTGTGGACCACTTATACTGCTTTTAATCACATTGGTTTGTGAATATATATCCTCTTTTTATTCAATAAATACGTGTTATACCACGGTAATGCACGATGAGAGTGCGCCCTTGTCTGTTCTTTTCCGGAAGTGGGACATTGCCCAATCACTGTCACAGGGGGAGCAGTGGCATCATCCACCCGGGTGATTATGACATCATCCAAAACTGGATGGTGGATACCTGCAGAGGGGAGTCAGTGAGGGACTACGGATGGTTAAATATACCTTACCAAGAGGTGGGCTATCTGGAGGCACTGTGTCATTGCACTGAATCTGCAAGTGACAGTGCCTATTTCCAGAGGTCAGCACTTGAAACAAAGGCTTGACAAGAGGCAGTAAAAGTTATTTTTGGGGAAGATAACAGATCTAGGACATTGTACTATTTTACAACTTCAGTCATCCAAAATGTATGTTTTACTTTCTGTGATCAGCACAATTCCTGGCTTTCAGTATCTGCAGAATATATAGATCAAAGGTTCTGCTGGGTGAACAGATTAAATGTTCCTATGAGGTTTATTTCTGAGTTATTCTGCAGGGAATATACAGTATGTGAAGTGCTCCAGAAGAGTTAGATGAGATCTGCTGCAAGCTGTGCATTGGAGAAATGTTCTGCAGAGTGTGTATTCTGCAGTATCATCAGTTGGATATTCTGCAAGGCATGTAGATATGAGCTTTTGCAAGGTGTATAGGTATTTTGCAGGGTCCAAAAGTGAGATGTTCTGAAGTTATGGGAAGTCCTGTGGTATGTCTGGAGGAGATGCTCTGCAGCTTTTCTGGGGGAGAGGGTGTTAGGGTACCCTGGCAGTGACGCCATGCTCAATGTCTGCAGGTGATGCTCAGCAAGTGAAATTCCAGGTTATGGTAACAGTATCTGCAGACTGTGTGTAATCAGGTTACACAGATAGTACAAGAGACAGGGAGAGCTATATATAGAGCACAATGTGACCGAGGAGGGAGACAGGGACAAAGAGAGAGAGAGACAGGGACCGAGACAGAGAGAGCTATATATAGAGCACAATGTGACCGAGGAGGGAGACAGGGACAAAGAGAGAGAGAGAGAGAGAGAGAGAGAGACAGGGACAGGGACGAGACAGAGAGAGCTATATATAGAGCACAATGTGACCGAGGAGGGAGACAGGGACAAAAGAGAGAGACAGGGACCGAAAACAGAGAGAGCTATATAAGAGCACAATGTGACCGAGGAGAAAGAGACAGGGACAGAGAGAGATATAAAGAAACATGTGACCGAGGAGGGAGACAGGAGGAGAGAGAGAGAGAAAACCAAGACCGGGAGAGCTATATATAGAGCGCTATGTGACTGAGGAGGGAGACAGGGACAGAGAGAGAGAAAAGGGACAAGACAGAGAGCTAAAAAGAAAGCACTATGTGAGAGGAAGGAAAAAGGAAACAGAAAAACAGAGAGAAGCTAAATGGAGAAAAACTATGTGACCGAGGAAGGAGACAAGAAAAGAGAGAGAGACAGGGACCAAGATATAGAGAGCATTATGTGACCAAAGAGGGAGACAGGGACAAAGAGAGAAAGGAAAAGGGACTGAGAAAGAGAGAGCTATATATAGAGCAATAAACCAAGGAAAAGACAGGGACAAAGAGAAGAGCGAGAGAGAGAGAAGAAACAGAGACAGAGAGAAAAATATATAGAGCGCTTTGAAACCGAGGAAAAAGAAGGGAAAGAAGAGAGAAGGGAAAAAGACAAAAAAAAGAGAGCTAAAAAGACCGAAAAAAAAAAAAAAAAAACAAAGAGAGAAAGAAAAGGACGAAAAAAGAAAGAGAAAATAAAAAAGAGCAAGTGAAAAAAAAAGGAGGTAACAAGGACAAAAAAAGAAAAAAAAAAAAAAAACAGAAAAAAGCTATATAAGAAAAATGTGACCGAAAAAAAAGAAAAAAAAAAAAAGAAGAAAAAAACAGGGACCGAAAAAAAAGAAAAAGATATAAAGCAATGTGAAAAAAAAGGAAAAAAGAAAAGGGAGAGAGAGAAAAAAGAGAGAAAAGTAAAAACCAAGAAAGGGAGAGCTAATAAAAGCGCTAAAAAAGGAGGGAAACAGGGAACACAGAAGAAAGAAAGGGAAAAAATAGAGAGAGAAAAAAAAAAGAGCGAAAAAAAAAAAAGGAAAAAAAGGAAAGAGAAAAAAAGAAAAAAAAAAAGAGCTATAAAGAGAAAAAAGACAAAAAATCAAGGAAGGAGAAAAAACGACAAAAAAAAAAAGACAGGGAAAAAAAGAGAAAAAAAAATAAAAGCACTAAAAAACCAAAAAAAAAAAGACAGGGACAAAGAGAGACACAGGGAAAAAAAAAAGAAAAGAGAGCTATATAAAAAAAAATATGTGAAAAGGAGGGAACAGGGAAACAGAGAAAACAGGGACCCAGGCAAAAAGAGCTAAAAAAAAAAAATAAAAAAACCGAGGAAGAGACAGGGAAAAGAGAGAGAAAATATGTGACCGAAAACGGAGAAAGAAACAAAAGAGAGAGAAAGGAAAAAAAAGAGAAAAAGAGAGCTAAAAAAAGAGAAGAAAAATGAAAAAAAAAAAGGAAAAGGAAAAGAGAAAGTGAAAGAGAAAAGGAAAAAAAAAAAGAAAAGGAAAAGAAAAAAAAAGAAAAAAAAATAAGCACTAAAAAAAAAAAAGGGGGACAGGGAGAGAGAGAGATATAAAGAAACATATGAAAAAGAAGAGAAAAAAAAAAACAAGGGAAAAAAGAGAGAGAGAGAGAGAGAAAAAGAAAGAGAAAAAAAAAAAAAATAAAAAAAACTATGTGACAGAGGAAAGGAAAAAAACAGGGACAAAAAGAAAAAAAAAAAAAAAAAAATAAAAGAAAGAAAGGGAAATAGAAGAGAGAAAGAGGGATGGAAAAAAAAGAGAAAAGAAGAAGAGAAGAAAAAAAGGGGTAAATTAGAGAAACAGAGGAAGAGGGTAGAAAAAAAATAGCAGAAAAAAAATAAAGGAGAGAGAAAGAAAAAGAAAAAAAAATCATAGAGGAGAGAGAGGAGAGGGTTGGAAAGACATAGAGGAGAAAAAAGAGAAGAGAGGGAAAGAAGAGAAATAGAAAAAAAAAAAAAAAAAAGATGGATTGGTGACATAAAAGAGAGAAAGAGAAAAAAAAAAAAAGAAACATAGAGGAAGAGAAAGAAAAAAAATCAGAAAAAACATAGAGGAGAGGGAAGAAAATGAATGGATCAGAGACATAGAGGAAAGAGGAGAAATGGATCAAAGACATAGAGGAGAAGAAAATAAAATGGAAAGTGAGAAGAGAAAAGAAAAAAAAAAAAAAAAGAAAAAAGAAAGAGAGAGAGGGAAAAAAAAAAAGAGAGAAAAGAGAGAAGAGAGAAAAAGAAAGGGAGAAAAAAAAGAGAGAAGATAGGGAAAAAAATGAGAGACATAAAGGAGAGAGAAAATATGAATGGAGAAAGAAGAAAAAAAGAGAAAAGAAAAGAAAGAAAATGAGAGACATGGAAAAGAAAAAAAGACAGAGATGGATCAGGGACATAGAGGAAGAAAGAAAGGGAAAAAATCAAAAAAATAGAGGAGAGAGAAAAGAGATCAGTGAATCAGGGGCATAGTCAAATGGGATGGATCAAGAAAAAAAATCAGAGAGGAGAGAGAGAAAGAAGGATGGATGAGAAGACAGAGGAAGAGAGAAGAGGAGGATGCATCAGACATAGAGGAGAGAGAAGAAAGGGATGGATCAGAAATGTAGAGAACTGAGAAGTCAGGGAAAGATCAGAGACATAGAAAACACAGAGAAAGAGAGGGATGGGTCAGAGATGAAGAGGAGAGAGAAGAGAGGGATGGATCAGAGATGAAGAGGAGAGAGAAAGAAGGGATGAAGAGAGGGATGGATCATAGACCTAGAAGACAAAGAGAGGGATGGATCAGACATAGAGGAGAGAAAAGAGAGGGATGGATCAGATATGTACAGTAGAGGAGAGAGAGAAGGATGGATGGATCAGGCACATATGGTAGAGAGAAGAGAGTTGGATCAGACATAGAGGAGAGAGAGAAGGGATCTGTGGATCAGAGACATAGAAGACAGAGAAGAGAGAGAGGGATCAGAAATAGAGGAGAAAGAAGAGAGAGATGGATCAGACATAGAGGAGAGAGAAAAGGGATATGTGGATCAGAGACATAGAGGACACAAAGAAAATATGAATGCCCCAGAGACATAGAGGAGAGAGAAAAGAGGGATGGATCAGAGATGTAGAGGAGACAGAAGATATGGATGGATCAGAGAGAGAGGAGAGAGGGGTAGAGAAGAAAGATGGAGGGCGAGGAGGCTGGTAGATGGTGAGGAGGAGTGCCAGTCAGCGGGAGGTGCGGGGGAGACAGATGGAGAATAGAATGACAGAGGATATTAGGAGAGAACAGAAAGGTAGGCAGAAAATAAGACAGGACAGCATACTATAGATAGTAATAGGCAGCAGAGCGTGACATGAAAGAGACTAAATGTATTGTGAGATGAATATATTAGAATGCATATAAAAGAGATGCATATATTTGTGGAAGGGGGGGGGGGGCAGGGGTGAAGTGGGGATAAAAGGTGGGTGACTTTATCAGGAATGGAGATGCTGCCAACGGAGAGTGTGTTGGGGGGAGGGATGATGTAAGTGGGGAGTGAGTTAGGTGGGGAGGGATTGATGTCTGTGGTGGGGGTGGTTAGGTGGCCAGGGAGAGATTATGTCAGTGGGTGGCAAGTTGGGTGGGGGAGGATGTCAATAGAGTGGATGGTTAGGTGGCCAATGTGGGATGCTGCCAGTGGAGAGTGTTTTTGGGGGGGGGGGGATGGATGTCAGTGGAGGGGGTGAATAGGTGACCAGGGAGGGATGATGTCAATAGGGAGTGAGTTGGGTGGGGAGAGATTGATGTAAGTGGTAGGGGGTTATTAGGTGGCAAGGGAAAGATGATGTCAGTGGGTGGCGAGTTGGGTGGGGAGGATGTCAGTGGAGTGGATGGTTAGGTGGCAAAGAAGGAATTATGTCGGTGGGGGGTGAGTTGGGCAGGGAGGGATAAATGTCAATGGAGGGGATGGTTAGGTGGCCAGGGAGGGCTGCTGCCAGTGGGGAGCGAGTTGATTTCGGAGGGATAGATGTCAGTGGAAGGGGGGTGGTTAGGTGGCCATTCCAAAAAGGGATGATGTCAGTGGGGGGGGGGGGGGGGGGGGAGCTTGGTGGGGAGGGATGAATGTTAGTGGAGGGGGTAGATAGGTGGCCAGGGAGGGATGATGTCAGTGGGGGGCGAGTTGGATGGGGAGGGATTTATGTAAGTGGAGGGGGTGGTTAGGTGGCCAGGGAGGGATGATGTCGGTGGGGGGTTTAGTTGGGCAGAGAGGGACAGATGTTAATGGAGGGCATGGTTAAGTAGCCAAGGAGGGATGATATTGGTGTGGGGTGAGTTCGGCAAGGAGGGATCGATGTCAATGGAGGGGGTGCTTAGGTGGCCAAGAAGGGAGGATGTCAGTGGGGGGTGAGTTGGGTGGGGAGGGAGGATGTCAGTGGAGGGGGTGGTTAGGTGGCCAGGGAGGGATGATGTTGGTGGGGGGGCTGGCGAGTTGGGTTGGAAGGGATGAATTTTAGTGGAGGGAGTGGTTAGTTGACCAGGGAAGGATGCTGCCAATGGGGAGTGTGTTGTTTGGGGAGGGAAGGATGTCAGTGGAGGGGGTGGTTAGATGGCCAAGGAGGGATAATGTTGGTGGGGGAGGTGAGTTGGGCGGCGAGGGACAGATGTCAGTGGCGGTGGTGGTTAGGTGGCCAAGAAGGGAAGATGTCAGTGGAGGTGAGTTGGGTGGGGAGGGAGGATGTCAGTGGAGGGGGTGGTTAGATGGCCAAGGAGGGATAATGTTGGTGGGGGGTGATTTGGGTAAAGAGGGATGGATGTCAGTGCAGGGGGTGGATAGATAGTTGGAGTGGGATGATGTCAGTGGGGATTAGGTGGTGGGGTGGTAATCAGACTACCAATATATAGCAACAGCATAATTTTTCAAATTAACTTCATCTTCCCTAATAAAATATGTTTAAGACCTACTTCCTTTTGATACCAGAGAAATAAAATGTACTTTCCCGACAACTCTCTACCTGACACCTTCTGCAGCACAGCAGTTATCCCCTCTTCATCTTCCAAATCCTGACCATCTCAACCTTTCTCACTTTCTTTCTGCTGATATCCATCCCTCCCTGGCTACCTCACCATTCCCTCTGCTGAGACATCCATCTCTTCCTTGGTCACTTTATCCCCCCCTCCCAACCCCTTTGCTGACATACATCACTCCACAACTGCCTCACCCCTTCTCCTCTGCCATCAACCCCCAGCCCCCTCACTCATTCTGCCAAAATTTTTCCCTCCTGCCTGCCTCTCACCTGCTGACATTCATCCCTACCTGGCCACCTAACCATCCCCTCCAAAGACATCCATCCCTCCCTGGCCACCTAACCATCCCCTCCAAAGACATCCATCCCTCCCTGGCCACCTAACCACCTTCTCCACATGGAAATTCATCCCTCTCTAGTACCTAACCACCATCTCCACTGACATCCATCCCTTCATAGCCAGCTCACCCTCATTCACATCGAGCCTTTCCTGCCCACCTCACCCCCAAATGACGTATCTAACATATCCTTAGCCATGCCTGTTCTGCAATGGCAAAAACAAGATAGTCGCATGAGTGGGTAAAGTCCATCTCATGTGACAAGTGGTTAATTCGACAGCAAACAAGGCTGTATGATTTAAAAGTTTTTATTTATTCTAGCAAAAACCATTTTGCAATGCAACAAAATTGAAGTAACACGCCCTGCTCAGTAACCACAACATACATATAGACGTACAAACAAGAATTTAAAAGCAATGCCGTAATTAAGACGTCTGGACGTCAACTGAACTATATGCATGTGTTCCCCTCAAGAAGCTGTCCCAAATTTGGGGTATATCAGACTATCAATGATGTGTAATTACCAGGGGCGGACTGACCATTTGGAAACTCGAGCACTGCCCGAGGGCCCGGGGTCAGTAGGGGGCCCCATGAGATGCACCTGGTACCTTTTTCATAGGCTTTTTTGAGTTTGGGCAAGGACACAGGGGCCCCATGATCCCCTATTGCCCGGGGGCCCCATGAGTTGTCAGTCCGCCCCTGGTAATTACAGCACCGCAAGATCTAGATGCATATAAGCCCCTAGGCCCATTCACCATAGATGAATACGATATTGATGGTGTTCAGAAATGGGAACACTTTTGCTAGTTTACCATTAAAAAGCTGTCTTTGAGCTCTAGTTCAACGACTTTTGCCTAGGACAAGTTGAAGTCATCAGCCACCTTGTACAGTGTAATGCAGGCAGAAGGAAGCATTTCTTTAGTCTCCTCTCTCCCCCAGTGATCAGACTTGACATTGTAACTGCAGCAGGAGCTAATCTGTGTCCGACATTTGTGAATATAGCCAAGAAATGCACAGACCCTAGAAATGATATTGATATTTCATCTCTGAGCCAACATCTCAGTCTAGGAAGTACATGATGACTCTGGATATGCCTGAACAAAGATGACACTGTCCTTGAGGAAAAAAAGCAGATAAAGGCATTGTTGGGGGATTGGGAGTAGGGGTAATATAATCTCTGTGAGAGGTAATAAATGTCTGGAAGTTTTGAACTTACTCATTACTATTTATGCATTGCTTATCAAGTCAGACTTGTTTCCCTTTAAGTTCTTGTCTCCTCTTTGTTGCAGTGGGAAGACCGATCCGTGTGCCGCATTGTCCTGTCCCATCAGAGGAAGAAGTTTCACATTATCACAAACTTTACATAGAAGGACTCAAACAGCTCTTTGATGAGTTCAAGGTGTCTTGTGGACTCTCAGCTACTGATGTTCTACAGATCATCTAACCCAGTTTTGGGCAGCTTCTGGCTCTCCATCTATGACAATACTATACTAGGCAGTGTGCCATGGACATTTTGGCACCTAAAACTCCACAATTCCTAGCATAGGTTTCTTAAAGGCTAACTAAACCCAAAACTAGTATTTCAGTTATGGATGGATACTGTTGGATTTAATCAATTGACCTGTCTTCTTGCCCAGTAAGTCACATACCTGGTATTTTCAGGTATAAGAGATCATGTGATTCGCTCCCCTAACTTCCAAGGGATAATGTGCATGGTTGTTGACTGGCCACTCATCACTGTCATATGTGTGGCGTTCCCCCCTGGAGGGGTCACTGTACGTTACCTCAGGTTCTCCCTTGCTGCTACCAAGGTTGCCATCCACCAGCACAGTTCCATGTACACTGACAATACAGGCTCAGTCTAGGGAATGTCTTTTTTAGAATTTATTGCTGAATACCTTGAAATAGGAGAGGGGTTCAGGGAGATCAGCAAAATCCAAAATGATCAGTAAGAGAACAAACTTCTAGCACATATCCTTATAGCTGCAAATAAACATGAAAGTCTCACAGTAGGTCTCACTCACAATGTCCCAGAAGCTGACTGCCACCCAGCTTCCACAGGTAGTTCCTCAGTGAGGGAGATAAAAGATCTTTCTCCAGACCAGGACTTCAGAACAGTGTCCTCCAGTAAAAGTCCATTAGTGTTCTTCTCTTGGTCCTGCACCTGCTGAGGCCCAAACTGCAATTCATTAATCAGTATACTGTAGCTGCCTCCCAGGGGCAGCAGCCCCCAGGAAAACTGGAATCTCCCCTAGAGAAAGACCTCCCCAAAGCTTTATAATTTCCCTGGAAATCTTCTGGATGCCCCCTTCTAGGTATTGGCTGAGACATGATAAATATTCATCACTGAATATCTGACTCTTACTGCCCTATATTTTGGAAGCAGGGGCAGACTGACCATTTGGAAACTTGGGCACTGCCCGAGGGCCCGCAGTCAGTAGGGCGCCCCATGAGATGCCCCTGGTACCTTTTTCATAGGCTTTTTTGAGTTTGGGCAAGGACACAGGGGCCCCATGATCCCCTATTGCCCAGGGGCCCCATGAGTTGTCAGTCCGCCCCTGTTTGGAACCTTCTCCAAGAAGCAAGTGGGAGAAATCAAATACCAAGCTTTGGAAACCCTTACCAAACAGAAACAATAGATCACTGCTCCACTGACTACAATGAGGCCAAAAACTAACTTTAGCCTAACAACCTAACTAGACAAGGGCGCTTCCCATGGAAGGGTGAGAGTTGTCATCTCTGTGCAGCAAATCATGAGTTTAGGCCTACACAGGACTTCTTCTCATAACTTCTGGTTGCCAATTGGAGGAGTAAGTAGGAGGTTGGTATCAGGGGCTCTGGGTTGAGACGTTAAAGTGAACCTGTTGCTTTGCTCTCTCCTGCCTGGGCAAAACACAGGTTCATTTTAGGGGTTAAAGTTAGCATATGAAACATGCTGGCTCTGCTCCAAACTGGCAAACAGAAAGGAATCACCTCACCGGCATCAGAAGGGGGAGCTGTGTCCGCAAATGATTCCAGCAGCATACATACAATGTAAGAAAGGAGAAGTGGAGTTTGGTATATGAAACAGCCTCAGACGCTGCTCCGGCCATGCCCTCTGATGCATTTTGCCCAGCCCACTGGGGGCTTGATTACAGAGAAGTCAGGAGAGATTACTCTGTGATCAAGCCCCAGTGAGCAGGGCGAAACGCGTCAGCGGGCATGGCCGGAGCGGCGTCTGAGGCCTTTTCGTATATCTGATTCCACGGGTGGTTAGAGCAGCATCCTTTCTTTGGGGTTAAAGCAGGGGCAGACTGACAACTCATGGGGCCCCCGGGCAATAGGGGATCATGGGGCCCCTGTGTCCTTGCCCAAACTCAAAAAAGCCTATGAAAAAGGTACCAGGGGCATCTCATGGGGCCCCTACTGACCCTGGGCCCTCAGGGAGTGCCCGAGTTTCCAAATGGTCAGTACGCCCCTGGGTTAAAGTATTACTGAAGTCTAGAATGTTTTTAAAATTAAAATAACAAACATGTTATGCTCACTTGCTCTGTGCAATGATATTGCACAGAGCGGCTCTAATCCTACTGTTCTCAGGTCCCCGTGATCTTGGTTCATCCTCTTCTTCGTCTGTCCCCATAGCAAGCAGCTATCCACTTACTCCCGAGCTGTGTGTCTATGGAGCCGTGCTCCACAGACTCACACAGCAGGGCTTAGCTCTGCCCCTACTTTCTCCTCGCTGCATTTGATTGACAGCAGCAGGAGTCAATGGCTCCTGCTGCTGCTCAAGTCCTGTGTGAAGAGGAAGAGAGGAGAGAAGAGATGCAGCCGTGCACAGTGCTGGATATGTTCTGCGCTCTCTTCCCCTTCACAGAGGGAAGGGGGAGGACAGAGGAACTGAAAACTTTTTTTTACCATTTTGCAAGGAATAAAAGGTAAAAAACGTTTTTAGGTTTAGTATCACTTTAAGGCAAACTTGTGTTAAAAATAGACTTCAAAAAGGTTTTAAATAGTTTTTGTAGTTAGGTTAAGGGTTAAAATTAGGATCATATGAAGGGTCAAGGCCTAACTCTAGGTTTATGTTCCATTTAAGAAGTATGTGCCAAGCTGGCCATAACAATTTCTTTTACTAACGGATGCACCCGCTGTAAGCACTCTATAAATTGTATGTAGAATCAGCTCTGCACATTATACAGCGGGGACTTCTCATCTGCTACTGGGACAAGATTGAGTCCAAACCAGGGGCGGACTGACAACTCATGGGGCCCCGGGCAATAGGAGATCATGGGGCCCCTCTGTCCTTGCCCAAACTCAAAAAAGCCTATGAAAAAGGTACCGGGGCATCTCATGGGGCCCCCTACTGACCTCAGGCCCTCGGGCAGTGCCCGAGTTTCCAAATGGTCAGTCCGCCCCTGGTCCAAACTGAGCGTGGTTGAACCATTTACAAGAAGCTTTGTATTTTTATTACCCACCTCCCATGTATATAAACTGCCGGATGGTGGCAGTGCAGGGTCGGGTGCATGTTTATAAACGGCCTCCCCGCACCCTGCTTGTGCGTGCTGGGAGCGCACATCTCCGAGATCTGGTGCCCGGACACAGTGGAACACCGATCGTCGGACGGGACCTCTGTGCGAGGTCCCGATCATGTGATCACTGATTGGCCAATCAGTGATCACATGCAGAGTAGTAAGCAAGATGTCACTTGTGACATCATTGCTTACTACGTGTGAAATATGTGAATGATCACAGAGGTCACATGGTACAAGACTATTCACAACAGCCTTGTACCATGTGACAAGCTGTGAGCAATCACAGCTCACACAGTAGTTCTCAATGGCTGCAAGAATGCAGCCAGAGAGGAGAAATTATTGCTTTTACAGCCTTTATGGGTGTAAAAGCAATCAGTGTAAAAAAAAAAAAAAAAAAAACAAAATCTTCATCACCCCCACAAGTAGTAGTGTCACCATGGTGACACTGTACTGCTAGGGTGCCAGTATGTTAAAAAAAAAAAAAAAAAAAATAAATAATTTTAAAAACAATGTTTAAAAAATTATAATTTTTGGTTATAAACTAATTTGGGTTATTTTTTTTTTTACTAAAAAGATAACGGAATAGATTTTTGCCAAGATTTATGATGAAATACTATTTATTTGCAAAATTTTATAAGAAAAACACTTTTTTTCAAAATTTTTGGACTTTTTCATTTACATAGCAAAAAAAAAAAATAAAAATCCCAGTGGTGAATAAATACCACCAAAATAAAGCTTTATCTGCCTTTATGGGTACAGTGTTGCATGACTGCGCAATTGTCATTCAAAGTGTGATAGCGCTGAAAGCTGAAAATTGGCCTGGACAGGAAGGGGGTGAAAGTGTCTGGACTGGAAGTGGTTAATGAACACAAGACCTCCTTTGGTTGGCTGTTGTGGAGAGGTGGGCAGATGACATCATCACAATCTTCACCTCAACCAATCAGAAGAAGTCTTGTATTTCATCATAAAATACAAAGCTTCTTGTGACTGGCTGATCAGGGCTCAGCCCCACTTGATTTTGTTTTGGGAACAGGCAGGAAAGTCCCTTTACCCCTGCCGAAACACAGTACTGTATGCTGTATGTACTATTGCACCATTTGAGCTATTTAAAGTGAAAGTAAACCTGGAGTTATGCTTTAAGCCTAGATGTTGGGGGGTGTTAAATGTTAGAATTACAAGATAACTTTTATAGGGAGGGTTGGGTTAGGTAAACATGCGACCAAGTTATTTAGTTTTATATCGAGCATGGAAGGCTTAGACCTCAATCAGATTATCATTTACCATCTGTGTCCTTCTGGGAAGATTTCTCCTCACTTTCTGTCCTGGTGATACCACAATGAATAAGTAGAACTCCCATCTCCGAGAGTCATCACAGGGACAGGAGTCCCCATTACAGGATTTACTCTTACCTCTTGCTCTGGTGACAACAATTTTGGATTTTCCCTAATTTTCTGTCTCACTGATAGTGGTCACCGGGCTGAGTCTCCCCAGTGGGGTCGCAGACATAAATAAAAGAACAAAACACAGTGTAACCCCCCAAAACCCTATCAAAAAGTTTATAAAAATCCTTTATATACTTTTTAGGGTGAGGGTTCTGGGAATGTGGAGGAACATTTGTTAAGGCTGAACACAATATTTTTGGGCATGCTATGTAAACATAAATTACTTAAATTGATGGGTGTCCCATGTGCAGATGCTGCTGGGTTAGGTAAAGTTCTTAGTTTCCGGTACACTACTGTATGCGCCAAACTTCCAGCAATGAAACTTACATTTAGTTCTCTAGAACTGTGAAGATAATAGTTTGCTAGCTCTCCCCAATATTCATTCTGTGAATGGACAAGCGGAGAGGAGGGGTGGATAAACATTAAGATCCCATTCAAAGAGCGCCTTGTTTTCTGTAAATGGACGAGGTGGACTGCAAGCAATCTGCCATCAT